GAAACCAGGGATATCATTGGTGACATCATATGGATCTTGACTGAAGTCAGAGCATACAGAAAGATGTGTGCTAGTGTTTTTAGAAGTTATGCACAGGCATTTACTTTGTGAATCAACAAGTTATGGATAACATTTTGAAGAATAGGAATCACAGAATACTTAACTGTGCTCACATGGAATCTATCTATACAAGACCAGGAAGCAGTGATTTTAAAATGTGCAAGGGAGCACAGCATAGCTTCAGAACATGAAAGGCAGTCATCAGGGTTGTATGCTTTCTCTATACTCATTCCATGTGTATGATGTATTTGAATTGGAGAAATTGGTTTATGCTAAGAATATGGGCTCAGGACTGGAGAAAGACTCATCAACAATCTATGTTACACGGGTAACACGATCTTGCTTACAGAAACTTAGGAAGCCTTCAAGTACTTACTGAAGAAGATAAAAAATTACAATCTTCAGGATGGATTACACTGCAACATCAAGAAAATATTCTCACCACTGGATCAATAGGCAGTATTATAAATGGTGAAAAGTTTGAAATTGTTGAGGATTTCATTATCTTTGGATCCACAACCAACACTCATAGTTCCAGGAGTCAAGAAATTGAAAGGTGTGATGCACTAGGAAATTTACCGTCAAGAACCTCTTTAAAGTGCCAAAGAGCAAGAATGCCAATTTAAAGACTAAGGTGTGTCTGACTCAAGCCATGACATTTTTAATTGCTTGATATTCAGGTAAAAGTTGGACAATGAACAAAGAAGTTTTAAGAAGAACTTCGAAATGTGGTGTTGGCAAAGAATTTTGAATATTCACTCAGTGCTAAAATAACAAGTCTGTTTTGGAAGAAGTGCAACCAGGTTGCTCTGTAGAAGCAACAATGGTGAAACTTTGCCTCACATACTCTAGGTATGTTGTCAGAAAGTGCTGAGCAGACCTTTAATGAGATGGACTGACACGACTACACAACAGACGCAATAGTGGGTTTTTGAGTGATGGAGATTGTGACAATGGTGCAAAATAAGGCAAAGCTTTGATCTGGTGTTCCAAAGAGCAGAGTCAGAGTCAATTTGACAGCATCCAACAATATCAGTATACAGGTATTTTTCACATTTTTTAAGTTGGTTTGCATACAAAATTAATATATGTTTTGCACATTCCTTTGTTCACATTGTGTTTCATATTATCATTCCAAAACACTGCATTTTATAAAACCAATCAACATGGTCTATGCCTACTATCATCCCGTCTTTTCAGGTCTCTGTCAGATCTTTCATGGGCATTTTTTTAAGACAATGATAGTGTTACTAAGGGGAGTCACCAGAGAGCAGGGAGAACTTTGAGAAACATTCACATACCAAAGACTGAAAAATCTGTCTTTGAAGAATTTTTGTTTAAGTATCAAGAAAAAGTAGTGTTAAAAAAGACTAGTTTCTAAGGCAAAGGGATTAATGGTGCATGTATCATCAGGCTGGAAGAACATTTAAAAGGACTAATCTCATACACTGTTGGTAAAAATTTTGAACAGTATGCAATTTTAGACGATATATTGATACAAAATTTATAAAGGACAATTTGACAATATCAGCATATTAAATGTTTATACTCTTAGACCTACCACTTTTACTCTAGGAATTTATTCTACAGACTAACTTTCAGTGTACAAAGGCATATTTATATATACATATATGTGTGTATAAAACTGTATGCAAGTATAAATATATATTTGTGTGTATATATATATATATATATATATTATCTTTGGGAACATTATTTGCAAAAGTAGTTGATGAATTACCAGTAGTATATGCAGCAAAATTATGGTATTGTATGGTTTGCCCGTATTCCAGCACAAAAACAGCCATTAAAAAAATTACAGGCACCTGATACTGGCATGAAGTTTGTCTAAACAGATTCCTTAAATGGGAAAAACAGTTATCAAAGCATACATATACAAAATTATATTTTATTTTGTTGAAAACAAAAAGTACTAATATATTACATAGGCTCGCTATGAGTCGCAGGTCACATGAATGCACACAACAACAACATTACACAGAAAGACAGGAAAAATATACTACTCTTTTAACAGGAACTTAGAATAGTACAGGTGTGTATGACTATAAAAATTTGGGAAAGATGAGGCTGGGAGTTTTATTTTTCATTTTATAATCCTTTAATGCTTATTATCTATTTTAAAATAGGTATAAATTATATTAACAAGAATTCTCAGGGAGCTCTGGTGGCCTAGTGGCAAGAATCTGCACTGCAATCCCAGAGGTATGCAGTTCGAATCCACCAGATGCTCTGATGGAAAAGGAGGGGCAATCTCTTCCTTTACTGATCAGATCTGATTTGACGGTACACATACAAAAATAATGAAATTTAAAAAAAATTAAAATTATAAAGAAAAAGAATTATTAAAATATCAATACAAATAAAAATAAGACACTTAAGAGAGGAATTTATGACAATTAAAGCTAAAAATTCATAAATAACAAAAAAAAGGACAACTGCTGCTCTAGTTCTTAATCCAGATCTACTGTCTTTTCCACAATAATACAGCCTTCCTCTTAGCTGTGTATGAAAAAGGATAGAAGTCATTCAACTGCTCAGTTTTCTCACTATCTAGAAGCAGAAGTCCTTCAGCTTTGAACTAAGAAAAGAAAACCAAAACCAAATCAACAAAAACCCACCCAAAAAACCCTACCCCAAACAAACCCCTAAACACAACTCTAATTCAATGCCATCAAGTTGGACTCACTGAGACCTTCAACTTGGTGTCCAAAGCCGTAAATACTAAAGGGAGGAGACTGTTCTTTTTCCTAGGACAGACTGGTGGATTCAGAGTTGTGTAGCCTTTTTTGGTTAGCAGTGCAATGCTATACTTCGTAGATATGTTTCTTAAATACTTTGGGAAAAATGTGCCTCACAACCCAATTTCCACTACATTTCTATGGTGTGAACAAGAGATGATGAAGAATTAAAATTCCTGCAATTATATTTTTCAAATTTTTCTTCACATCTTTCACGTTAATCTTTGTACTATCACTAAAGTGAAGTTTCATCTATCTTATGGGAGTTCTCCAATGTTTCCATTATTTTCAGAAGAAGAAAGAAACTGTGATTATACAAGTCATTCACAGTGTCTACCTATTTATCCTCAACATCCACTACTCTCCTCATCCTGAACTTTATACACTTTATTATTAAGAATAGTTAGTTATTCTTTGTTATCTAATTTTCTCACACCTGCTTGTCTTTCAACTGTTATTTCTAGTTAGAATGCTTTTGCCCAATTGCTTGTTAATCCCTTAAGACTTAAAAGCTATAGGTGTACTCCATGTTCACAATGCACTTCTGCTACTCCTCAGTACTGTAAATGTTTATGTTTATTTCTTGTAAGTTCCTTAATGACACTGAAACAGAATTAGTCTAATACTAAAGGATCTCTGGTGGCACAGTCTGTAGGAATTGCAATGCTAACCCAAAGGTGGCACTTTTTGGCAGATTGAATCCACTCCCAGCTCTGAGAAAGAAAGATGGGCAATTTCTCCTCATGTGATTTACAGTATCTGAACACACTGGAGAGTATGGTATGAGTTGGTTCTGATTGGGCGGCAACGAGCTTTAGCTATTTTGTTTTTTGGCTTTTTGTTTTGTTTTGTTTTTTAAATAGTAAATCCTAGTGTAATAACTGGCATGTAGTAGATAACTCACAAATAAAGGATGAAGAACTGAATGAATGATTATATAGCTATGTTTAATTAGGTTAATCTATAATTTGTCTCCTAGTATGTAAAATGAAGTTAAGTATGTATCTACTTCATCGGTTTGTACTGATAACCGTGTGAGACAACTTAAAATTCCTAACACAGTGTCTGGTACAGCTTAGTAAGTATTAGTTTAAAACACTTTTTAAAGTTGGGTTTTATAAGCTAGTCTGGAAGTCAAGCCTTTTATTCTTATTTCTGGGTAACATATATATAATTTCAAGTAAATTTGGAATATTATCTAGTCCATTGTTGTTATTTTATGCCGTGGAGCTGAAACCAACCCAGAGCTAACCTTCCGTGGGTTTTCAGAGGCAGTTAATTGCATAGTTAATTGCATCATTTTCCCGCAGAGCAGCTGGTGGATTTGAACCATGTGCCTCTGAGATTGCAACACAGCTTTTTTCCACTAGGCCAACATCTTAATAGGAGGGGACTTCCCATCTTTATTCTGAGGAATTTCTGATGGATTTGAACTGCCAGAGACTCACAGACTTTTGCCTAGTAGTGCAATATGCTATGGATTGTTGGTGTGTGCTGTCAAATGTAAATCAACTCATAGCTGACCCTTCAGCAGGTTTTTTAAAGGTAGTAGATTTCACAGGATGAGGCTGCTCATCTTTCTCCTGTACTGCAGCTGGTGAATTCAAACTGCATACCTCTGGGATCTCAGTAAGTAGTCTCAACCTTGACTCAGGTTGATATTTGTCACATCAATCAGTGAACATGTGGGGTTCATGATAACCTCAAAGTTTTGCTCTAAAATGTCATCTTCTCTAGCTTCCTCCTTAACCAAGATCTACCAAAAACAAAAGAAATGAACAAAAACCCCCAATCACAAAAGTCCCATTCTCCACCCCAAGTTTTGATCTTGCATGGCTATAAAAGTCTTGACTTAATTGCTATCAAGTCAGAAGTGCCTCATAGCTGACCTTCCATCAGATCTCCCAGGCTGTAAAGAAATTGCATGGAAAGAGACTGCCCATTTTTCTTCTAACGAACCATAAGAAAAACACTGCCTTTGGGTTAGCAGATCTGTTCCCTAGGGATTATGCCACCAAAGCTATGTACTACAGAATTATTTTTTTAAAAAATGGTAATTCTTTAAAAAAGGTCTAAAATAATTAATGGACGAAAGAGAAAAAAATGTTAAAAACTGAAATCTGTATTGTCTAACAGGGAGCAATTTCAGAGAAAATGGGCAAGAACTACTTTTTAAGTTACCTGTAATCATTCCGGTCATCAGCTTTTATTCCAGGCCAATCTCTTTTCAGGTATTGACTAGCCAATTTCTGGATACCCTGTTTAAAAAAAAAAAAGAAAAAGAAAAAGAAAAAAAATTACATATACATTCTAAAATAAGTATTATGGTATTGAAAAAGTTATTTTTCTTAAAACACAAACTAAGAAATTCTATCTTTCTATATTTATAATTTAATTCAGATCAAAGACCGTAGAACCCTACAACCATATTCATTACCATTACAGTTTTTCTTGTCTCCATTTTATGGAGTGAGTACAAGGATGAGAAAATTGAAACTTAATTGATTTGCTTCTTATTTCATCAAATTATTAGTCTATCATAAAATCAACCTGCCTCTGGTCTGTCTTAATGAACACAGCTAATGTCTACCCTCACAGATCTCTTACTACATAACTTGACATCTTATTTCCCTACTGTTCCTCTGCTTTGGAATATACTGCATTTCTAAAACCCAGCAACCTCATTTATCAGTAGAGGGAAGAACACACATTCAATTTGGAGTGGGCATGTATATATACAGGCTTTTAAAATTCATGAACAAAGCACAGTGCTTTTCTATGCTAATAGTTCTCAAGATGAATCTTTAAGGGTTATTTTTTATCCTTTCAAAGCAACTTAATGGCACAAATAACTTCAAATAACAAAATTAATTTAACAAAGAAATATTCTCACAAAAGATAAACATTGGGTGAAATATATGGGCAACCTATATAGACTATTTGTCTATAATAGTGCAGCTATGGGGTCTGAAGATAGAAGACCATTTTATTGAGTCACTACAAACATGTAACATATTGCTTTTAGATTATAATACATGTTCTTGTTGTTGTTACTGACTGCAGTCTAGTCAAGCATGACTCATAACAACCCTATGAACAAAAGGCCTGAAGCCCCTCTACAACTATCATCACTTATCAAAGTTAATAGAGTTTCCAGAGGCATGTTGTTTAAGAAGTGGATATGGGTTATCCTAAATCTATAATGAGCTCTGGTGGCCTAGTAGTAAGGAGCTGTGCTGTCAACCTGAAGGCACATGGTTCAAACCAACCAACTGTTCCTTGGGGGAAAGATGAGCAGTGTGATTTATTACCTCTGAAAACCTGCTGGATGGTCAGCTTTGAGTTAGTTCTGACTGGACTGTATATAACAGCAACAACTAGGAAGCCCTGGTGGCACAGTCTGTAGGGAATTGTGCTTCTATCCCAAAGGCAGCATTTCTCTGGTGGTTTGAAACCAACAGTGGATCCTTGGGAGAAAGATGGGAAATCTAGTCCTGTGCAATATACAGATTCTGAAAACCTCACTGGAGGGTCACCTATGTGTGGGCTCTAACTTGACAACAGTAAGTCACAGCTGTAAACAGTAACATTATATACTGACATTGACTCATTAAAATTACAACTTCAGACTACTACTATATTCTGCACTTTAAGAGGAACAATTGGTTGCACACCTATGTTTAGCGAGGTTTTGTTCACAATAGCAAGGAGCTGGAAACAACCTAAGTGCCCATCAACAAACGAATGGATAGAGAAGCTGTGGTATATTCACACAATGGAGTACGACTCTGTATTTAAAAACAAGGAACTCATGCAATATTATTCAAAATGGGTGACCCTGCAGGACATTATGCTGAGTGAAATATCTCAGTCACAAAAGGACAAATACTGCATAGTGCAACTGTTATAAAACAGGACTGACATTGCGGTTGGGGGGAGACTGAAAAAGATGGGATAAATAATGTATACTGCATTGAAACAGATGAGGGAGAAAACTGTTCAAAAGGGATATGTGATTAGGTATTATTGTCATGACAGGAGTCCACAGCGAAGGCTGCATAGTGAAGTGGACTTGCGGGGAGGGATTGTAAAACAATGAAAGAATTTTTCTTTTACTTTTCAAAGAGAAGAGTGTACTGGGGGGGGGAGGGAGAAAAGTGCAACAATGAATGAATGGAAATCCAAAATTTCTGTAAATTTTCATTAAAATTAATAATAATAAAAAGAGAATATAAATAAAAGCAAAACAAAAAACAAACAAAAAAAAAAAAAGAGGAATAACTGGAAGCAGAAGTGGCATCCACTTCCTAAGCAACATGTTTCCGGAAACTATCAACTTTGATAAATGTCGAGTTTCATAGGGTCGCTATGAGTTGTGCTCAACTTTTTTTATTTATTTTTTTTTATTTTTTTTTGAGTTGTCCTCAACTTGAAGGAGGAAGAGGAAGAGGAAGAAATAGTGAAGATCAATCATATTTGAAGACTGAATGCTTTAATCAGAATCTGTTCAAGTAAAACCAGTGCCCCAGTGCACACATGGTACTTCCTGTTAAGTTCTGCTGTTAGGTGCTGTTGAATTGGTCTAATTCACAGTGATCCTATATGCAAACAAAACCAAAAGCTGCCTGATCCTGTGCCAGTCTCATAACTGCTGTTGTCCTTGAGCCCACTATTGTAGCCATTGTGTCAACTGTTCTTGAAGGTCTTATTTTTTTAAGACCCACTACTAAGCAAGATGTCTTTCTCCAAACACTGGCCCCTCCGATTATAGGCCCGTTTCTAGTAAAGTTTATAGTACCTGTAAAGTTAATTTTACTTCCTTAAATCCATTGTTGAATGTCTGGTTACAGTTATTTCAATGAGTCAAAAAGGTTGCAGAAATAGTAGAGAAGCTCCTCCTTGGAATCTCGGGTTCCTCCTAAACTTGGTTACAGTTTGGCATCATCATTTCCACTGTAGTATTATGAGAATTTATATTCAACTTTGAGTTGCGGTGTTGGAGAGGAGTATTGAACATACCACAGACTGCCAAAAGAATAAGAAGTCTGACCTGGAGAGGGTGAAACCAGGCTTTTCTTTGGAGGCAAGGATTTTGAAGCTTTGTTTCACATACTTTGGGCATGTGACCAGGAGCGACTAGTCCTTGGAGAATGACATCATGCTTGGAAAGGTGGAGTAACAGCAAAGAGAGGAAGACCCCAGAGATGGACTGACACATAACTGGAGTAAAGGGGGTAGGTGTGTCAGAGACAGTGTGATTGGCTCAGGATAGAGCAATGTTCAGAACTACTGTCCACAGACAGGGATGCTATGAGTTGCAAGCAACTCAATGGCACATAACAATAGGTATCCAAAAGATTTCCACTTACATATTCCATAGTTCGTGAATCCAATTGACTAAGTGTTCCTGTTCTGAATTTTCTTCATATAGTTTCTACAGTATGAAATATCTTCCATCTTTTCTGTTACTATTGAATTTTCATCCTTCTCATTTAAAAATACTATTTTTAAATTTCCTAAATTAGGAGAGCTCTGATGGTGTAGTCCACAGGAAATTAGGCTGCCAACTGAAGGGTGACACCTCTCCGGCTGTTCAAATCTACCAGTGACTTCAAGCGAGGCAGATGGGTAACCCTTTCCTTTGCAATTTACTGCCTCCAAAAACCTGCTGGAAGGTTGACTTTACACAGTTCTGACTTTACAGCAATGAGCATTTTTTAGTTAAAGTGAAATATGAACAAGTATATATATATGAAAATGTGAAAACCTTAATTTCATAGATAGTAAATTTCATCAACAACAAAGCCTCAACTCATTGTCATTGAGTTGGAGTGGATACACAGCTGACCCTTCAGCTCTGAAGTCAACAGCACAACTCCTGGCCACTAACTAGGTGAGACCTCCCTAAATTTCATTAAGCACTGAAAAATGTCTTGTCATAGCAGTCTTGCCATTCCTGTGTACTTATTAGCTGAAATTCTTCTCTTAAAAAAAAAAAAACCAACACAAAACAACCAACAACCAAACAATCTTTACTAAACTATTTGGTTACCTTGACATATAGTTCATAGACAAAAATCAAGATAAATACTGATTCATTCCCTTTATTGTTTAAACTGGTCTAAAGGAGAACAATATAAGGATTTTAAAAGTCACATTATGAACCCATAGATTTAAAAAAATTGCAGTGTTTCAATTAATTGCAGTCCTTATTCTTTTGATGCTATATTTGTCCCAACTGTGGATTGTGGTACCTCCTTCAAGTTGGCTCCCATATAGTAACTACAATAGACTTTTGGTAGTTTGTTTTCTTTTATAGTTCCTGTCTAAGACCTGCGATAAGCTATTTCTCAAAGGGATTCTGATTCCTTTGAGAAACAATATTTAGAGACCACAATCTAGGTACTTCCTCATTCTTCAAGTTTTCATTCTCAGCACTAGGTATAATCACAGTATGCCTACCTAAACATCCACACTCTTTTGCACATCACCCTATTTTTTCCTAACTTTTATGACACTGTCACTGTTAAACTGAAATAATTTTATTCTTTCATGCTTTCAGGTAGGGAGCTGTCTTTTCTTTTATAAAATCGCTGCAATCCCAGGTTATAACCAAGAGCCCAACTCTTAAACTTCATTTTATGTATGAGGCTTCTCTTAAGTCACAATCTCTCAATCCAATAATCTCACAATCTATAGAGAAGAATATAAGAAGTAGCCAAGAAGAGAAGACAACAATGGGCAACCACGAAATAAGTGAATAAATGAAACATAAGTACTCAGACGAGGAAAAGATGTTCAAATATTTTCTTAACAAGTAAGTCACATTTTTAGTTTAATCAATATTAATTAAAGTAGCTGCAGAATACTTTATAGAAAACACGGGATCTGATAGAAGTGTCAAGTGATGAGTAGGGATAAAATAGAAGGCAGAAAGACAGCCCTCTATAAAACAAATTAACAAGCACATGTGCATATTTATTTCTCTGTAAAATGTTATTATAATCACAGGGAAACTGAACATTAAAAGACTATACAACCAATTTAGAATCACAAAATTCTTAACTAGTTAAGCTTAAATGACAATCCCAAATTATCATTCTAAGTCTTCAAAAGGCATAACTTTTGAGTAGGTTTTTATGTGATTCTTTTAAAAATCTAAAATTGCTTTAATTGGGGTGTGTGTGTGAGGGCTCACACATTATAATTTACAATAGTGAGCTCTAAGCTACAAAATAGAACTGTATTAACTGAATGA